CAGGAGTGAGCCGGGATACCGCTGGGAGGATTCCTGACCCTGTTGCGGTGCCGCCTCGTGTTGTGCTCTTGCAATCGTGTGACAGTTGAGAGCTTCTGTCCTGCACGCCTGTATGGGTCCCCCCCCCCCGGACACCTGTAGTGCCTGCCGCAGACCAGCCAGCGAAGGCTCCCGTTTCTTTGGCTCCCTTCATCTGAGACCTCTGGGCCTACCAAGGGCCAGGGAGAGGGAGGGAGGGAGGGAGGAGGGTGCTGCCGAGAGCTGTCCAGTTGCCATCTTCCCAACAAACCGAACTCCACGGAAAACGCCCGCTTATGTTATATATGGGAGCGTGCAGGACTGGTTCTGTGTTGGTCTCTGGCTCTGAACTGAAAACAGAAGGCTAGTTTGTGGACATGTTATTTAGTTATCTCTTCCTCTCCCACCCTTCCTCCAGAGAGCTCAGGGCACCAGGCACTAGTCTCCACTCCTCCATCTTACCCTCACAACAACCCTGGATCCTCATCTGACCTTTTATCTCGTGGCTCAGCTACCTTTTGTAATTAAGGTGTAGTGGTCAGGGGTCATTTCCTGCAGGAGCACACAGGAGCGGAGCTCCGGCAGTAAAGAGCCCAGGGGGCGGGCACACGCAACAAGCCCCACCCCCTGCTCCCAGCAGCCCTCAGTCAGAGCAAGAAGCAGCCAGGTAAGCTGCAGAGCCCCCCCCCGACCCCCTGATCCAAAACAGTCCAGTGGCACCTTTAAGACCAAGTTTTATTCAGGTACCAGCTCTCCCTCCTCTGTGACAGATCTGCACGTCCCCCCCCGAATAGCTAGCAATCCAGAACAGTCCAGTGGAGCCCGAGCGGTGGGTGTTGCCTTCTGACACACTTCGGGTGATGTCAGGGGGTGTGGCATATGCAAATAAGTTATGCTAATGAGTTATGGTAATGAGCTCCTGCACCTCTTTTTCTACGAAATGACCCCTGGTAGTGGTTAAGTGTGCAGACTCTAATCTGGGAGAACCGGGTTTGATTCCCCACTCCTCCACTTGCACCTGGCTGGATGACCTTGGGCAAGCCGTAGTTCTGATAAGAGCTGTTCTTGAAAAAAGAGTTGTTTCTGTCAGGGCTCTCTCAGCCCCACCTACCTCTCAGGGTGTCTTGTTGTGGGGAGGGGAAGGGAAAGGAGTTTGAGAGCCGCTCTGAGACACCTTTGGGTTGTGAATCTCCTCCTCCTCCTCCTCCCCCTCCTCCTCCCTCTCTTCTTCTTAAGAACATAAGAACATCAGAGAAGCCCATGTTGGATCAGGCCAGTGGCCCCTCCAGTCCAACACTCTTGTGTCACACAGTGGCCAGAAATACCAGGGGCCATCAGGAGGTCCAGCAGTGGGGCCAGGACACTAGGAGCCCTCCCACTGTTGACCCCCCCAAGCACCAAGAAGACAGAGCATCACTTGCCCACTATACCTTGTGGCCTTCTTCTTCTTCCCAACTATGTTAAAATTCAGAGCAAGAGACCAACACAGAAACAGTACAAGAAAGCCCACTGGCGTAACTGAAAAGGTACCCTGGTACCCTGGTATTGATAGTTCTCATTTTCCTTAATAATCCCTAGAGTTTCTGCAGCCCCAGCCCTGACTGCTGCAAGCCTTTTAGTTGGGACGTGGCACACACAAGGAGCTCTCGCCATAAGCAAGAAAGATGCACAGGCGCCCCCTGGCCCAGGGTTTCAGTGTGCTGGCGTCAACCCACACACACCTGGACATCTGGCAACTGTTCCGCACTCTCATTTCTCTCCCCCCCCCTCTCTCTGAAAAGCACATCTAAGAAGCCATTTAGCCCCATAAACATCTTTGCTCGCTGTTCCCTTCACATTCTGGTCTCCCACCTACTGTCCCAGTGCACCTTCACTTTCCTGTTCCTAAGAGTGAGATTTGGTACTGTACCGGCCCACGTGTGGCTGGGGAGCCACAGGAGGCGGGCGGGGGGCCCCCCCTGCCTTAACCGCTGGACCAGGCTGTCCATGTGGACGGAGGCGGGGGCTGTGTGCTGGCAGTAAGCAGGTCCCCCTTGGACAAGTCTGGCTTTCAGACAGCCAGGCCCAGGTGCGGGGGAGTCACACTCACTCACTCACTCACGTGGTTCTCTCCCCCCCCCTCCCCCGTGCAGATCTCGGCACCTCCTACTACGCGGTGGCTGTGGTGAGGGCCAATTCCACCTTGACCATCGGCAGCTTGAGGGGGGCCAGGACTTGCCACACGGGCATCAACAGGACCGTGGGATGGAACGTCCCTGTGGGCTTCCTCATTGACAGTGGCCGGATGGCGCTGATGGGCTGTCAAGTCCCAAAAGGTGAGCCCGGGCTGCCCTGTGGAACCCGGCTTGGCTCTGAGCCCTGCGGCCTCCACACCTGAGCCCCGAGTGGCTGCGCAAGAGGCCACCCTTTTACTTGGCGCTTGGATGGCCCTGAGCGGTCAACGGGGGGGGGGGAATGCTCTGCCACGTGTGAAAGCCCCACTTGTTTGAAGAAAAATTACCCTTCCTTTTGGAGACTTTTGTGCACATCCATTTCTCCAGCTGCCTTCATTTCTCCGCCATGCTAAGGGCTGCAGGAGACCAGGGGACGGGGGTCTCTGCAAGGCAGCTCTTGCCCTTGTGAGTGGGGTGTGTGTGTGTGTGTGTGTGTGTGAGTGAGTGAAAGAGAGAGCCTGCAGTGTCCTGAACTTGCAAGGTCTTGACGCCAGTCGCCAGCCCAGGCACCGAGGGAGAATCCCCACCAGGACTGCTGGCTGGTGCATTTGCCCAGGCCTGGAGGCGCCTGTCCGGAGTGGGGCTCTCCCGCCAGTCAGGGCCTCCTGCCCGGCAGAAGGAGGCCCCACCTTAAAGAGGGACCCAACACGGCCACTCCTTAGGGCGCCACTTCCCTCCAGGGACGTGTCCTGAGGCCACTCCGGCCTGTCATTCCCTTCCAGCTGTTGGGGAGTACTTCAGTGCCAGCTGTGTCCCTGGAGCCAGTGGGGACAGATACCCTCCCTCCCTCTGTCAGCTCTGCAAAGGGGACGGGGCAGGACAAGGGAAATGCGACCCGAGTCCCCGAGAGTTATACTACGACTACGCGGGAGCCTTCAGGTATGCCAGGCGCGGGTGGGTGGGTGGGTGGGTGGAAGGGAGGGGGAGGCATGTCAGAAGGGTCCCCCCCCATCACAGTTCTCACTGCACCTGTCTTGGCCCCTGTGTCACTCCTCCAGACTGTGTGGGCGTGGTTGCTTTACGTCCCGCGAATGCGCGTCACCCTGTTAGGGGATCACGCAGGATTTCAGAGATGCTTCTGAACACCTTGCCGGGAAGGTGAGAGAGGAGGACCTGTGTGCGGCTGCCCCCGGCTGGTGGCCAGCCAGCCCCTCCTGGAACTGGTTCTGTGTGCCACAGGACCTGGCGGCTGCAGAAACCTGGCGACCAGCCGGTTGGTCCCAGTGAGCTGCCTCCTGAAAGCAGGCCAAGGGACTTCTGCCGCTGCATCCTCCCGGCCGGCCCCCTCAGCGCTTGCTTGGCTCCAGGACGTGACTTGACCGGGCTCGGTTTCCTGCAGGTGTCTGGTGGAGGAGGCGGGAGAGGTTGCCTTCGTGAAGCACAGCACTGTAACAGACGCCATACAAGGTGAGTCTGTCTCCAGCTGGGAGCTGATCGTACTGCAGCAGTGCAAATGCAGAAGAATTGTTCTGGTCCAGTGGCAAGTTTGGGAAGTGGTGGGGAGAGGCAGGAAATGCCTTATGCTGGAAACGCAGGCGTCGCTGTGAGGCTGGGAGCTCACTGTGTGGCCTGGAGCCTGGAGCAGAGGCCAGCTGGAATGCCCTCCCTCGTGACACACGGTGTGGAGGGAACACCGGCCCGAGCTGCAGGTAGGATCAGTCCCTCCTCTGTCTATTTATGTGTCGTGTGGCAGAGTTACATGCAGGAAGCCTATAAGAACATAAAACGCAGAACTGTGGGTATGCAGACCGATTGGACAATCCCCCTAAATACTAATATCTAAATTTTCAGTCCACTCAGTCGCAGCTGGGAAGAATTCAAGGAGCTCCTCTGTATCGTCTTCATGCATGCGGCTGGTGGCAGACAGAATCCCCCAGTGGGAAACAGAATCCCTGCAGCTGGTATAGAAGCGGGCGCCTTTCTGCCTGCGACTCTCGCAGAGCTGGGAACTAAAGTGTAATATTGATAGTCTACAGGAAAACCCTTTGACGTCGGCACCTACTTATCCACCCTGACCTGGGATGGCGCCGGCTAGCCCGATCCCATCCGGCCCTCGGAAGCTCCGCAGGGCCGGCCCCGGTCAGGATTTGGAGGGGAGGCCGCCCGGGAAGCCCAGGGGGTCACGACGCAGAGGCAGGCACTGGCAAAGGCACCCCCCCGGAACATCTCTTGCCTCGAAAACCCCCACGAGGGGTCGCCCTAAGTTAGCTGTGATTTGATGGCAAATGCCTGGGAGAAATCAGTGGGTTTTGTTCACATTATTTATTTACAAAATTTATATCCCACCTTTCTGCGCATGTGATTAAAACCATTAAAATGCCCCCCCCCAAACATACACCATGAAAACAAATTTTAAAAGAGTTAAACACAGTTAAAGTGCATGCAAAACAGTTAAAGCACACACATCTATACTTCTCTAAATTGCAGATTCTGTTTGGGGAAGTCTGAACTGATTATTTTTAAGCATTTGAGAAACGTCCCTTTCCTCTCAGTTCTAGAAGGAAATGGACTGTGGAATGAGGGTTGCCAGCCTCCAGGTGGGGCCTGGAGATCTCCCAGAATTACGACCGATCGTCAGAGGTCAGTTCCCTCCCCGGAGGAAATGGCTGCTCTGGAGGGTGGACTCTGAAGTCCCTCCCTGCCTCAGGCTCCACCCCCCAAATCTCCAGGAGTTTCCCAACCCAGAGCTGGCAACCCTGTGGGCATTGGGCGGGGCCGAGTGGCGTGGCTTTTGTGGCACATCAGCCCTCGGAGGCCCATGTTCTGGTTCTGGTTCCAGGCCCAGCTCCTCCCTCGTGGGCTCAGAAGCTTCAGCCGGGGGACTTCCGGCTGCTCTGCCGGGACGGGAGTCGGGCGGAAGTCACGGAGTGGCGGAGGTGCCACTTGGCCCGGGTCCCCGCCCACGCTGTGGTGGCCAGGCAGGACACGGCGGGGAGCCTCGTCTTTCATCTGCTCGACCAGGGACAGGTGACCTTTGACCTTTGCCACATGATCCTTTCAGTCTGGGCTCCAGGTCTGTGAGCTGGTTTCTTGGGCACTGCGGCTCCACGGAAACTAAACGAAAGGAGAGGACGTGTCCCCCCAGTTCACAGCAGATCATGGGGGGTGGGGGGGTGAATATCCTGGTGGCAGCACTTACAGGCAACGGGGGAGAGAACAGAGGGTTCCCATGGCAATCATAGTGACCCCCCCCTCCCCCGGTAGGCCAGAGATGCCCAGCATGGCGGCACCCGTGAGTGCCCCGGTGGCTGCTGAGGGAACCCCCTTTCTTCTTCAGAGCCGCCGGGGGCCCATCCTGGCTTTCCTCCGCTTCACAGGAGGCATATCCCTTGGGGTCTGCGGGGAGCCAGCGTGCAAAAACAGCTGCCTTCAGGATCGGAGGAAGCTCTCGCCTCCTGGCATCCTCCAATTGCCCCCCCCCACCTGTGGTGGCCATTTTGGGGGTGGGGTGGGGTGGGGCCTGGCACTCTTCACATTTGAGAAGTGGTGCCCACAGGCTCGTCAGGTCTGAGGATTTCTCGTGTAGGCTTTCTTGGCCTCTCTTGAGATGCAGTTAACACTCTTCTTTTGTGTGTGTGTGAAAGAGCTACTCTCTCTTTAGCGGCTGCAAGTCAGCCACATCCAAGCAGCACAGCTTTTCCTGACCACGGAGGAAGCTTTACCAATTGAATATCTGCCTGTTGCGCACTTGTTCCCTGGTAGGGCTCTTAGAGAGTCGGCATGGCATGGTGGTTAGCATGTTGGGCCGCAATCTGTAAGACCTGGGTTCATATCCTGCTCTGCCGTGGAAGCTCACTGGGTGACCTTGGGACAGTCACACACCGTCAGCTGAACCGACCTCACAGGGTAGTTGTGAAGATAAAAGGAAAAGGGGAGATTGCCGTAAGGCACTTTGAGTACCTGCTGAAGATAAAAGTGGAGTAAAAAATGAAGTCAATAAATAAATAACACCTTCTACAACTATTCCTGAGAGGCAGAAAATCAGAAGGTAATTTTCAGGAGGTGACTTCCTCGCAAACACCAGAAGTTTTAAGAGATAAAAGGTATTGTTCTGCGTCAAAATCTCTCCAACTGTTATTTATTTATACCCCTTTTTCTCCCCGATGGGTGCCCAGAGTGGCTTTACAACACTCTTCTCCCTGCCTGTATTTTATCCTCACAACAACAGCTTTGTGAGGTGGATGAGTCTGAGGAAAGCGACTGGCCCAGGGTGACGGGAAGTGAGTGGCCCGGGTGCGAGGGAAGGACCAGCCCGCCAGCTTCCGGGGCAGAGCAGGGAATCACCAGGCCGCCGTCTCCCGGGTCCTAGTCCAGGAGTCCAGCCGGGCCCTCAGGGAGGGGTGTGCCGTGCTTGGCTGAGGGAAGGCTCCTCCTCCTCCTCCGGAGCGCTGAAAGGGAGGCCCTGGGCGGCAGAGCCTTGACTTGTGGGCCTCTTCCCTCTGAAGTAGCCCCTCCCCCTGTAGTCGCCCCCCCCCCCGGTGTCTGTAGAATTCATGTGGCCTTAGGGATACAGATGTTTAACAGGTGCCTGTCTGTCAATGTTACAGCAAAGGTTTAATGGTGAAAGCTCCAGTTTCCAGATGTTTGACTCTGTGGCTTATGGTGGGAAGAACCTTCTCTTCAAAGACTCCACCACGCAGCTGGTCCCCATCGAGGAGGAGACCTACCAGGCCTGGCTGGGGAAGGAGTATCTACATGCTGTGCGGGGCTTGGATTGTGACCCCACAAGTAAGTGCCACTGCTGCTGGGGGTGGGGGGTGGGCAGGTCTGCTGTGGATGATCTCCGGTTCTTCCGGATGGGGCTACGGTTCCCCCAAAGGGGCGGGCTCATAGCTTGGGGGTGCTCCTGCTGGACAAGGAGGGGGCGGTCGCGGCCGGGACTGCCTTTCAGCGGCTTTGGTTTGTGAGCTGGCGGCAGCCCTTCCTGGCCAGGAAAGAGCTAACGACAGGGGTGGTGCCTGCCCTGGTGACATCTGGATTGGATTACTGCCACGCATAGTTCTCTCTAAGCTGTGCTATGGGGTGCTGACACACAAAATTTTATACGCCAGCTCAGGGGTTTCTGCTTCTGCACACAAAGTCCCCCCCCTCCATTGGAAACAATGGAGGATGGGGGCACTTCCTTCTGGGGCTCACAGAATTGGACCCCTGGTCCGATCTTTTTGAAACTTGGGGTGAGTGGGTGAGGAGAAGCACCAGCAGCTATGCTGCCAATTTGGTGCCTCCATTTAAACAAACCGCCCCCCACTAGAGCCCCAGATATCCCCAGATCGACTGTCCATTATAGCCTATGGGGCCTATTGACTATAATTGTCCCCATAGGCTACAACTATTACAACGGTGCCCTGGTGTAAACGATTGGAAGCAGAAAAGGGCTGAGTCCCGCGAGGGATCCCAGGGGGCCAATCATCCCACCCGGGCAGAGCCAAGGCGGTTCTCGTTCTGTGTCCTTGAAAGCTGAAGACCAGAATCGATGGTGACAGATGGTCACAGAATGGCGGCAGCAGGAGGGGCCCAGATGGTCACAGGACCCCCCACCCACCCACACACACACACCTCTTTCTTCAGGCAGCATCTGTGTGGAAGCGGCTGGGCCTCTTTTTTTGCCCCAGTGGGTCTGATTCAACTGGGGGAAGCGCCCACCAGAGAGAGGCCAGAGGAACACGGGGGCAGCATCCTGAGGCACTCTGGGGGGCGGGGGGGCGAGAGCTGCGGCCCCACGGTCAGAGAGAGGCCTGGAGTGCGCCAACGGTGTCCTCTTGCTCCTTCCCCAAAAGGACCTCCGGTTGTTGGGCTGGGAAGGCCGGAGAGCAGCTTCCACTCAGAGTGGGAGGTTCTCCGGCAGACAGACAGACTGCGGCGCTGGCTGGAGGTTCTGTATCTTCATGTCCGCCCGAAACTTAAATTCCACTGTCAGGTGAGGATGCCGACATCAAGGTCAACCATGTGAATTCTCCCTCAAACACCCCCCCCCCCCCCCCACCCCCGTTTATCTTCCAATGCAGGACTGCCCAGGTCCCTGCGCTGGTGTGTCTTGTCAACGGAGGAGATCTGGAAATGCAGCCAAATGGCCACTGCCTTTAAGGACAGGAACTTGAAGCCCGAAATCCAGTGTGTTTCTGCGGCGAGTCCCGAGCAGTGCATGGAGCGGATCCAGGTGTGGCCCCAGCTGTGGAAGCCTTCCCGAGAGTCTGTTGCCAGTGGGTTCCTGGGGCAGGCCACGCCTCCAGGGCCACCCAAGCTTGCAGCAAGTAGCTCTCAGCCAGGGGGATGTAAAACCACAGAGAGCTTCCAGGAAGCCCTCGGCAGGCACCCCCTCTCGCCGGCCCAGTGCTCCCGTCCCCTGGGGCAGCCCTGCAGAGTCCCGGGAGCGCCAGGACCCCTCCCACGTCAAAGAGCAGGTGGTCCCGCCACACCCTCTGCGTGGCTGCCGTCTCAGAGGCCTCTGCCGCGTCAACACCACAACACCCGTGCGCACGGTGTCTCCCTCCCTGCATACACACACACACACACACACGGTCGCCGGGTCACCACTGGCCACTGGCGGGGGAAGGGGGGGGAGTATGGGGTTGCCAGATCCAGGCTTGGAGACGCCTGGAGATTTGGGGGGGGGGGGCAGGGACCACCGTGGGGAGGGGGGTACAATGCCATACAGTCCACCCTCCGAAGTATCCCTTTTCTCCAGGGGAACTCGTGTCTTTAGTCTGGAGATGAGCTGTAATCCCCAGGCCCCACCTGGAGGGTGGCATCCCTACGACACACACCTGGTAGACTTCTGGCTACCTTTAAAAAAAAAACAACGGTGGCAGCAACAGGACTGCAGTCCAGCAACTAGTGATTTTTTGGGAAGGCAGCAAGAAGCCACCTTGGGGGCAGAGTGAGGGGAGTGGGATGGGGAACGTGGAGGGGCAGGGAGGGGAAAGGGCCCCCCACTGTGAGCGGGAAGGTCCCCAGACCGACACACGTGGTGACACACCCCTCCTCCTGTGTGTGCGTGTGTGTGTCGGGGGGGGGGATTCAGAGAGCACCGTGACCGGGGGTGGGGGTGGGGAGCAGCACTGGGAAGGAGGACGCACGAAGCCGCCTCTTCCGTGACAGACCTTTGGCCTGCCCAGGTCCGTCTTCTCTCCTCAGACTGGCAGCAGCAGCTCTCCTGGGCCCAAGCAGTGTTCCCTCTAAGCCGAGTGAGTGTGAGCTAGCTCAGAGTTCTTTAGCCTCCGGCTCACACCTTTTTGTCTCCGCTCAGGAAGGGATGGGGCTCCAGAGCAAACTAATCTATGCAGTATAGCCAAATCGCTCGCTCACAACTTGTAATGCCAGCAGCTCACAAAGTAGAGTTTTTGCTCACAATACTCCACAGCTTAGAGGGAGCACTGCCAGGTACCTGTTTTTCTCAAGCCCTGCTACCTGATCCTTCTAACTGGAGATGCCAGGAACTGAACTGAGGACCAAGCAGAGAGTTTCAGGTGGTCGGCTGTGTCAGTCTGCAGTCCAATAGCAGCGTAAAGGCCGACCCTGGAAACCCTGTCAGTCCTTAAGGTGCTACTGGATTTGAATCTGGAGCTAAGCAGATGCTCTGCTGCGTAGCCATGACCCTCTCCTGGCTTTGTGTATCCGAAAGGGTTACAAAACCTGTTGAAGGGGAAAGGAATGTTTTCTTTCTTTCCCAAACCAAGGAAGAGTTCAGGAGCTTATGGCCATTCCTACGTGGGTTATGTCTCCTGAGGTCAATACCATTGGGAAGCAGATCTCTTTTTTTGGTGGTGGTGGGGGAACGATCATTTTGGAAATGATTGCAGTAAAGTCTGAATGGCCGCTGTCAAGGTGGGAAAGTTCAGATTTTGCCCGACAGTCTTCCTGTGCCAGCCATTTCCCCCCACACACACCAGGGGCTTTTTCTTTGTTTTAAATTGGCAATTAAATATTGTTGTATCTGTATAATGTCATAACAAAATGTGTAACGGATTCTTCCCACTGCCAAAGGAGGCCGGAGACTTTTTTTAAAAAATGAAAGACTGGCAATTCAGAGACCCTCTTACGCACATCGCTGTAATGTCCTGTGGGGGCTCTATAGCGATATTCAGTTGCTGATTTTTAAAGAAAAAAATGGGGAAAGCTCCAGTGGCCTGGCAGAGGAAGGAGGGCCACTGGTGGAGATCTGGGGCAGGGAAATCCTGTGGCCGCCACGCCGCTGCTGTGTGGGCAGTTGCACCAGCAATGAGGAGACCACGCACGCACCTGTCGTTGCATGGAAAGCATCTCTCCTGGAATAGGAACCAACCCGATCCGTCAGGCTCCATAAGGCCTCGCCTGGAAGAGGGCAAACCCTTGTTGTCCCCTGCTCCAGAGATCAAGATGGGGTGGTTGACTAGCAGGAGACCTTTCCTAGCAGTAAGGGCGGCTTGACGAGAAGGTCAACGGGGGGCAGTCCCAGGCTGGAGGTCTTCAAGCAGATCACGCCATGCACGCAGCCACCATTTCCTGGGTGGGGGGGGGAGACATGGGCAAGCTCTCACCCCCTGGGCTCCGAGCCTCTTGGCTCCAGCGGGAGGAAGGGGTGGAGGCAGGGAGCAATATGTGCGAATATGTGCAATGTTGTCACATCACTTCTGGCTTGTGCCCAGAAGTAATGTCATGACACTCTAGGATTTTGTCCATCTCTGTGGTAAAAAAAATAAATCTGTACTGGACAAGTCCCCAGAGAGGAGTGATGTCGCATCCGAGTACCAAGCAGAAGTGACGTCACGGCATTGTGCGCCATCGCTCCCTACCCCCAAGAGGCTCCCCCCCCCTGTGGCCGGTGCTCTCCTGGCAACCCCCAGCAAGAGCTGCTTCGGCTTGGGACCTCTTGTGGCAAGCGGGGGTCTCTGGACTGGGCCGCTGATTAGGGGGCCCCCCCCTCTGCACCTGGGCCCTCTGTGGCTTTCGGGGGGGGCTGCTGGCTGGCCGGCCGGCCCGTCATTCCCTTCAGGGCTGGGGCTGGTCCTTCGGCCACTCTCGGCTGCCTTCTGCCCTGAGGTGTGGGTGGGTGTGGGTGTCCCTCTGAGGCAGCAGAGCATCCCCTGCCCCCCCCCCCCCCGCCCCCCCCCCCCTCCCAGGGCTGTTTTCCATCGTCCCTCTGAGGCAGCAGAGCATCCCCTGCCCCCCCCCCCCGTGACTCAGCCACATCTCCCAGGGCTGTTTTCCATCCACACCCTTGTTTTCCTCTCCTTGCAGAAAAGAGACATTGATGCTGTAACTTTGGCAGGAAAGGATATTTACATGGCTGGGAAGAAATACGGCTTAGTGCCTGCTGCTGGGGAAAATTACACAGGTGAGGAGGCCAGGGAACACTGGCCCATGTGTCTGAGCCGTCCTGCGGCTGCCTGAGGCAGAGGAACGGGGGGGGGAGCTCGGGACAGAGAGTTGCCTCCCCCCAAAAAAAACCCCAGGCACAAAAAGCGCCAGTCCCACCAGGCTGCTGCTCTGTAGCTCTGCTCCGGCTCCCCTCCGGTCAGGCTTCTCTGCATGCGCCCGATTCCCTCCCTGGCGCTCCCTGTTCTTACAGCCTCCTCCTCCTCTCAAGCCCCCCCAGTCAGTCAGCAGAAGCAGGGCTGGCCCCCAGCCCTGGACAATCTGGCCCTCCCGAGGGAATTGTGGGGAAGGCTGATCGGGGCTTCTCTCTGTTCCTCCAGATGGGGACACGAGCAACACTTACTATGCTGTAGCCGTGGTGAGTCGGAACGTTTCCAACGCTTTCACCATCCATGAGCTCAAAGGGAAGAGGTCCTGCCACACTGGCTACGGGAGGATGGCCGGGTGGAACATACCTGTTGGCCTCCTGCTCAGGAGGGGTCTCATTCAGGCCCAGGGCTGCAACATCCTCCAAGGTAAGGGGGAGGGGGGGCGGTCTCAGGCTTGGGGGCTGGTCGTGACCCTCTGGTGGGGGCACCTGGTCTCTGCCGAGCAGTCGGAAAGTGCTCAGCCAGAGGGAAGCCTGTGATTGCCTTGGGAGAAGGAAAGGATGACACGCGGGAAGGAGCTTTCATTTGCCCTTGCCCACTATGACAACAACCGGGGGGGGGGGCACGCACACACACACACACACACACACACACTTGGGACCAAAAACAGAATCCTGAATGTCATATTTTTAAAAACGGATCCCCACTCCCAATGTTCCCTCTAAGCTCCACAGTGTTGTGAGCAGAAATTCTGCCTCATGAGCGAAAAAAGCTAGTAGCATTAAAGTTGTGAGCAAGTCTACCTTTGACTATCATGTAAATTGCCTTTTTACAAGATTACTTCCATTACCTTGTAAAACTCTCAGAATACACCCTTTTAAATTCTATTTAAACTATAGTTCAAGAATAAGCTAAACATTATAAGAGAAAATAGTCAAGTCAAATTTCACCCGCCCCTTTCCCCACCGTGTTGGCAGCCCTGCCCTCCGGGGAAGAGGTCTACCTGCCCCTTTCCCCACCGTGTTGGCAGCCCTGCCCGCCCGTAGGAGGTGCCCCCATCTCCCATGGTCTCCAATGGAGGGGGGAATGTCTTGTGAGCTCTGACTGGAATCCTGTTTTCTCAAGCAGCTCTTTTATTATAGGTTGTATTATATTTTTTGTAATGATCTTTGTCTTTTGTCTGTTCACTTCCATTCCTGCCATCTCACCAAATTCCATTAAATTCTTCATCAAACTGCATACAGAAGTGCTGGGATCTTCTAAAATAAAAGCTAGATCATCTGCGAAGGCTTGTACTTTGTATTCTTCTCCATGTATTGTTGTTCCTCTAATATTCTTATCTTCTCTGATCACATTATTTAATACTTCTAGAGCAAGGATAAATAACAATGGGGATAGTGGACATCCTTGTCTTGTTCCCGTCTCAATTGCTATCTCTTTCGTTAAATCTCCATTAATCCTCACTTTGGCACTCTGTTGAGTATAAATTGCCTGAGTCATTTTGATAAAATCCAGGGCTATTTTTGGGCAGGAACACACAGGAAAGGGGTTCCGGCTGGCTTCAGGCCGGCCAGGGGGGCCCTGGAAGGATCGGAGAGGCATTTAAGTGCCTCCCCGTGCCTTCCCTGGCCTGTCCAAGGGCCGGCTAGCCCAGGCTCCCTGCAGCCGCGGGGTGCCCGGGCAAGCCAAGGGAAGGCATGGGGTGTGGCCTAATATGTTAATGGGTGGTGCTGTCAAGGGTGTGGCCTATTATGCTAATGAGTTCCTGCTTCTCCAGCATCAATCTCACATAGTTGCTCCATATAAAGTTCCAACTAGCATTATCAAAGACTTTCTGCGTCTAAAAAAATTAGTGCCATTTGTTTTTCCAGATGTGCTTTGTAATATTCCAAAATATTTATAATTGTTCTTACATTATTTCTCAATTGTCTCTTTGGCAAAAAACCTGCCTCATCCTGATGTATTACATCTAACAGTACCTTCTTCAAACATAATGCTAGAATAGCAGTGAAGATTTTATACACCACATTTAGAAGCAAAATTGGTCTGTAATTTTTCTGGTGTTATATAATGAGTGAATGCACCAGGGGCACACGGAGGGGGGGGGGTTGTAGAAAAAGCCCAGCAGGAACTCATTAGCATAATAGGCCACACCCCTGACAGCAGAAACTCATTAGCCTATTAGGTCACACCCCTGACAGCACAGCTCATTAGCCTATTAGGCCACGTCCCCATGCCTTCCCTTGGCTTGCCTGGGTGCCCCACGGCTGGGGGGAGCCTGGGCAAGCCCCCCCCCCTTGAAGGGAAGGCAAGGCAAGGCAAGGCAGTTTGCCTTCCCTTGGCTTGCCTGGGCGCCCACCTTGGGGTCGCTGGGTGGGGGGGTCGCTCTCCAGGCCTTCCCTCCGTAGCCACGCACACAGAGGTTTTGACTGTAGTGGGCGTGGCCAGCTCTGAAGCCAGCCGGAACCCCGTTCCTGTGCGTTCCTGCCCCAAAATAGCCCTGGGTACACGGCTGCTGCATCCATCCTCCTGGCTCGAGCCTCTCTGGCCGTTAGACTTACTTTGGCACACCACACGCCCAGTCCTGTGAGAGCGGCAGGAACCCCGGCCAGGCTGCTGGCTGGAGAGGTTCCTCCCGGAGGACTCTCCCTATCGCCTGTCGTCTCTTCTCGTTCCAGCGGTGAGTTCCTATTTCTCGGCCAGTTGTGTTCCCACTGCCAGGAGGGATGGTTACCCAGCCAGCCTTTGTGAACTCTGCATTGGCGACAGCAACGGGAATCATAAATGCAGCGCCAGTGACCAGGAGCGCTATTACGGCTACACGGGAGCCTTCAGGTAAGGGGGAAGGCACGCGGGGCCATCTGCCGTTGGGACTCTGGGAGCCAGAAGGGCCTCTCCGCTCCCCGGGGCTGGCTAATGAGCCGTACAACAGGTGACTGCCGTCAGCTCACCTGGGAGTCTGGCAGGTCTCCCACAGCGGGCGGCATCAGCCCCACTCCCACCTTCTGCCCGGCAGCTTCTCGGCCCTCCCCAGGCATCGCCCCCGGCACCCGTGCACCACCACCACCACCACCACCTCCTCCTCCTCCCGCGACGCCTCCCCACGCCAGCTCAGTTCTCCAAAGCGACGTGCCTCTTGCTGACCACGCTCCATGGAGGCCAGCCAGGCCTTCGCCTGCCGCCACCTGGCTTGCCGGCCAGAAGCTGCCAGTCAGGGCAGTCCTCCTTCCCCCTTCTGCACCCGCCCCGTGGCCTCGGCCGCACCACCCAGCAGCGGCGGCGGCGGCAGCGGCCGTAAGCGGACGGAGGCTCGCCCCCCCGCAGCACAGCAGTCTCCAGCGGGAGGAGCAGAAAGAGCAGCCGTCAGACCTTGCGTTGCTTTTGCCAGCCAGTCCCTCTGGAGGGCCAACAGCAGGGCAGAGAGGCCCAGGCCTTCCCCTGAGAAGGACACCAGAAGAGCCCTGCTGAGTCAGACCAGTGAGGGTCCCTCTAGTCCAGCCTCTCGTCTCACACAGGGGCCAGCCAGTCCCCCTGGAGGGCCAACAGCAGGGCAGAGAGGCCAAGGCCTTCCCCTGAGAAGGACACCAGAAGAGCCCTGCTGGGTCAGACCAGGGAGGGTCCCTCCAGTCCAGCCTCCCGTCTCACACAGGGGCCAGCCAGTCCCTCTGGAGGGCCAGCAACAGGGCAGAGAGGCCGAGGCCTTCGCCTGAGAAGGACACCAGAAGAGCCCTGCTGGGTCAGACCAGGGAGGGTCCCTCCAGTCCAGCCTCCCGTCTCACACAGGGGCCAGCCAGTTCCTCTGGAGGGCCAGGAGCAGGGCAGAGAGGCCGAGGCCTTCCCCTGACATGGCCTCCTGGGTCTGGGATTCAGAGGATTAGTGCCTCTGAACGTGGAGGTTCCCCTCACTCACCATGGCTGGTAGCCACTGATGGATTTATTAAAGCTGTTGATTCCTGTGGCCATCACTACATGCTCCTGCAGCAAATTCCACATTTTCATCACTGGCTGTGTAAAGAAGTATTTCTTTTTGCCCACCCTGAACCTACTGCCCATCACCTTCATTGGACGCCCTCAGTGCGTTCTCGTCTTTTGGGAGGGGGGGAGAAGTTCTCTTTGTCAGCTCTGTCCCCACCCCATGCATACCTTGATAAGCCTCTATCATGTGTCCGATCATGCCCTTAGTCGTCTCTTTTCTAAACTGAAAAGTCCCAGAGACTCTGCAGCCAGTCTGATGTGTAGTGGCACCTCCACCGAACTCGTCCCTCCCTGTCCATCACTTACGCCCGGGGATGCATTGCTGCTGGGCTCTCCCCATCCCACCACGCTTCTGAAGTACCTCCCATGTCCAAGGCCTAGTCTGCACCTAGCATTTGCTCTGCTGTCTTCCCAAACCCCCACCCTGGAACGGGAAGAGATGCGGCTCAAAGCCGAGTCCTCCACTTCTAACACAAACCGCACTCAGATGATCCCCCCCCCCCAGGGGTGGGGGGGCCAACGTTGTACTGACTGCAGAGTCGCTCCTGAATGGCCACAAAACGGCCACACACCTGTGCAGACGGAGCCCATAAAGCCAAGAGATCAAACTAAGTGAAAGCAGCATGCAGTCTGGACACTGCCATAAAGTCCAGCAAACAATCAGAGTGAAAGTGGGCATGCCATGCAGAGGGGGCTTTCTGTTCCAGCCTGGGCCTTGGTGAGGCAGTGGAGCAAATGCTAGATGCAGATTGGGCACACTCCAGCTCCCCCGTCCGGGCTTGGAGACTTCTCGCATGGGCACGTAGAGACGTATGAAGCTTTCCCCCTCCCCAGAGTAACCCTCGCCCCTCCCTCGGCCCCCCAGTCTCCCCACACGTGGCCCTCGGCCACCATCCTGCCCTCACTCCCAAATTCTGTTGCGCGCCTGTCAATATCGCTCCGAGTGTTTATGCAGTCATTTGGGTGTGGTGGTGAAGAGCGCGGACTCTAATCTGGGAGCACCGGGTTTGATTCCCCCACTCCTCCTCCACATGCAGCTGCTGGGGTGACCTTGGGCCAGTCACAGTTCTCTCTAGTCCCTCAAGGGCAGTTGTCGAGAGAGCTCTCTCAGCCCCGCCTCCCTCACAGGGGGTGTCTGTCTGTGGTGGGGAGGGGGAAGGGGAAGGAGTTTGTCAGCTGCTCTGAGACTCCTTCGGGTAGTGAAGGGCCATGGGGGTATGAATCCAGTCTCTGCCTCTTCATCCATTTGGGTTGACTTGTCCTTTATAGGAGGTTCCCCGGCTCCTGTCAGCCTTCCCCCCACCCCCCCGGAATTAGTTTGAAAGCTGCCCTGTGATCTTTCTGATCTGAATCGCCGGCAGCCCGGTTCCCTTTGGGTTTCAGTGAAGCCCATCTCTTTCGCACAGGTTTGGCCAGTCCCCAGTGCCTAACAAATCTAAGCCCTAACCCTCTGGCACCACTTTCTCATCCACACATTGAGACTCCTGGTCTGTGCCTGTCTGTGCGGAACTGTCGGGGCTTCTGAGAGGGCTGCGGCTGCCTTTGAGCTCCTGGCCTTCCTCCTTCTGCCCAGTAACTGAAATTTCACTTCCGGATCACACGGCTGCCTTTCCCAATGCCATGGGTGCCAGTGGGCACCGTGACCACGCTGACTCCTCCTCTCCAGCACTGTCTGTCAACCTATCCAGACAGCGCGTGATGTCCCCAACCCTCACACCAGGCAGGCAAGTCCCCATGTGGTCAAAACGCCTGTCACAGACAGACCCCACTCTCTCTATTCCAGTTGACGGAATCACCTGCTATCAGAAGCCCTCCTCCCTCCAGCCCCCCCAGGGGTATCCTTAGTACCGGAGGATATTGGCCCATCACCCAAGGAAGGGGTCCCTTCTAAGGGACCACATCCCTCCTCCTCCTCCTCCTCCTCCTCAGACTGGCACCCTCTGAAGTCGAGACTTTCACTCTCTGCAACAGCAGACGAGCTGCCGGCGCAGGAGTGGGACCGTTCTGCCAAGTCCACGAGGGTCTCCGCTTCTCCAGGCCAGCGACCCTTTTGCCTCAGGGGAACGGACCTGCTCCCAGAGAGCCAAGGGCTCCGTGCAGCGAGCACACACCCACAATTCCCACCCACTGGGTAGCTAATCATACATGTGGCACTCCCAGCAAAACATTCCCCTGCTGGCTTCCCACCTTCATAACTGGTTAGTCATGAAGTAAGGGTGCTTGCCTGAGCTTGTGCCGATTTCTGTAGCAGGAAGGATACAGCAGCACACGACCCTCCTTGCTGATGTGGAACTTGGGTGTTAATTGCCATTAATTTGGGGCTAATTAGATGATTATTAAACAGCTGAATTAATTATTTATTTGAACATATTGAGTGATCATACCAACAGAATTAATTATTTAGTAACAGATCAGTCCAGCTAATTGATTAGGGGATGAATTATGGTTTTTGATTGATTGTTATACGTCAAACTATTACTAGGGTATATGCAAAAAAAATTTATCCTTGGCCTTTATTTAGGTCACTGGCCAGAGGAATCACGGTCTACTCGGCAATCAATTATTGGAGTGGGTTACGGCAGGATAGGTCAGGTAGCTGAGGCCTAGCAGCACGGGGAATGGTAAACTATTAGGGTAGCATTGTCAGAACCCACAGCCAACAACGAAGTACACGCATTCAGGAACGGTAATACTTTTATTGCAGAACTATAGATGCAGTAACACAGGCACTGTTAAGAATGGCGGTGGCCCCATGGGCATAATAGGATATAGGGTATTCGAATGCACACACACCCACCCCACAGAACTGGCCAATTAGGCACCCTCCCGCGTGCGGGTTAAGGCTCAGAGACCCTTAGGTAGCTGAAGCTGAGAACGAACACTCTCCCACGGCACCTAGGGAAATCCCAGACACTACAACACCCTCCTGCACATCTGTATAGATAAGTGTTTCGGCGCACAGCAGAGAAATCACAGAAAGGAATGCAGTAGCAATTAACCTGAAAGGAAAGCAATAGCAATTAACCAGACACAGACCAAGCCCCCCAACCCCATGGCAGCGTAGCTGACATGTGGCCAGGCTGTTGATGGGTCTCTCTATGTGGGAGCACATCCAGTCTGTGCTGAAAGTATTGCACTTGCTGCCAGTAGTATACTGGATTCGCTTCAAAGTGCTGGTTTTGAGCTTTAAGGCCCTTTATGGTCAGGGGCTGCCTTTCCCCATACATTCCTCAGAGAGCCCAAAACTGGCTGACCCTCCCAGGCCCCAAAGATGCCAGGCTGGCTATAACCAGGGCTGGGGCCTTCTCAGTGGCAGCTCTGTACTGGCAGAAGGAGCTCCCGGAAGAGATCAGGGCCCTGCAGGACCTTTTACAGTTCCGCAGGGCCTGCAAGACGGAACTCTTTCACCGACCTTCTATTAGGAGCCGCCTTAAACACCGAGGAGTGGGTGACCCTGAGCCCCCTGGTCTTGCCACCTTCAGCCTGTCTCGCCACACAAATTAGTCGATCAAACTGAGCTGATATGAGAATACCATCATGACTGTCACCTAAGTAGTATTGTTTAATCTAGAAATCTCTGCTCTCGCACTTTATCTGAGTATTGATCTGGCACTTTAGGAAAACTGACAGCTGACTTGTTCATGGCTGTTTTTATGAATGATTTTAATTGTATTTATATATACATTTTTATGTCAGCCGCCCTGAGCCTGCCTCGGTGGGGAGGGCAGGGTATAAACTAATAAGAACATAAGAACATAAGAGATGCCAATGTTGGATCAGGCCAAAGGCCCATCCAGTCCAACACTCTGTATCCCACAGTGGCCAGAAATACCAGTGCCATCAGGAGGTCCACCAGTGGG